AGTGTAAGGGTTAAACATCACCCTAAAGGGGTGGTTCTTGTCTTTCTCATATTTTCCTATCATCCTAAAATCACTGACATGCTCCTTTGAATTTAGGTCTTCTCCTAATCCTACTATTTTTTCTATGATTTTCATTTCTTCTGCTGCTCTGTCCACCCTAGATGAAATTTACCTCTCTAAACATCCAAAAATTATTATGGACAGATGGATATAATTCTATCAGCAGTGTTTTGTTCTAGTTTACTGTTGGTTACAAGTTCTAACCAACTCGTTAATGTTGTTAACGTTACGAGTTAATGTTGCTCACAATTTTTAACCACTGCACTGCTCTGGCTCCAAATATGACACACCCCTGGTGCGAAGGAAATAAATTATTTGCGCGTGCCAGCTTCAACATGCACGAGTTGCCACAAATATATTTTTTTTTCATTTTTTCTGTACAATTACTAATGCATTTATATTGTTTTTTTCTTGCCAATCCTATGTATATTGAACATGTTTACAATATTCTGGCAGTAGAACATCTGTACTGTTCCAAGACACTGTGTTACATGTATCACAAATGTGTCCACAAACATTGTTCATATATCCAATATTTCATGTTCAAATATGTACATTTATAACATATTTACACACTCTACACTATCACTCACTACAAACATCCCCTATCAACACACTTAGAACTATGGAAGTGTGTGATAATCAGTGAAGCAGTCGACGGAGCATTGGGGAACTTTGCACTCAACGCACCAGGTGCACATGCATCTTCGCTTGAGTTTCCTATGTTGTGTGTTCTTGCATACAATGCAGGCACGCTTACCCTTATCCCATTTGCCTGTGCCTGTCATATAACCACGCTTGTGTATAACAATGTATTCTTTACTCCTGAGTCTGTCAGGAACTGTGCGAGGCATTGTTGCTGGCACCCCACGCGTTGCAACACAGCCCTCCACCCTATACTTCACCAGAAGTTGTGAGACTATAGCAACACTGAATGTACGTATTGGGGGTCTCATGCCAAATTTCATGATATACACGTTGAAACGGTTCAGCATTAAAACATCAGTGAGGTGGAAAAAGAACTTCTTCGTCCACTTCACAGATATTTGCATGCACTCGACGGCACCAACCATCATGTCACATTTATCAACTAGCCGCATATTTATATTGAAGTCAATGACACAATTAGGTTTATATATTGGGAACCATGTTGCAAAGTTCACTTTGCCATTGTCCAACATGGCACTGGTGTGAATAGTTGTCAACATATTCACCTCACATCTGTCGCTCCTCCAGCACACTGATAACATTTGTTCACACTTTTGCAGCTGGCAATCACCCACTGCAATACCAATGCCAAACACCGGCATTTTCCTCCTGTGGGCCTTGACAGTGCCACATACGCCAGTGTTATGGCCAAGGAGGAATCTGGTCAGCAAGGGGCTGGTATAGTAGTTGTCCATGAACAGGACATGCCCCTTGTTCAGCAACAGATTCATGAGTGTCCTCACGACACTGCCTGAGCACCTGTGTGGATTTAGACCGGGTATGTCAACGTCTATACCTGAATACAGCATCATGTCGATGACAATACTGTACCAGTTTTGCCGTTACATAGCACGAAAAACTTTGAGTTCAAACCAGTGCCGCTTTGATGGAATGTACTGCTTGAACAGCAGTCATCCCTTGAAGAGGACTAGCAATTCATCAATCACAACATTCTATCCTGGTACAAAATAGTCGCAGAACTTTCCTTTCACATCACTAAATATCTTCCGCAACTCCCACAGTCTGTCGTGGCTGTCCTTGTTATCATTGATCTCAAAGTGCAGGCACCAAAGAAGCAGCAAGAACCTATCACGTGACATGTACCTGTTGAACACAGGGGGATGGAACAAGGCTGTCTTTGCTCCAATAATCCTGGATTAAGTGTTTATATGAATACCTCATCATCATCATGCACAATGCTAAAAACACATACATTTCCTCATTTGTAGTGTCTTTCCAACGTGTCATGCAAGAGGCAGGTAAAATGGCAGAGTCAATGAAGCCGTGAACGTATCTGTTCGTCTCTGCAATGAGATGGTCCATGAATTCCTGATCAAAATATGCCATAAAATAGTCAATTTCAGCGATATCATCACCAGTCAACCCATTCTCGCACTTTCGTATAGTCAATATTGACTTATTGAATACGTGCATATGTGACATACTAATTTATTGTGAATATTTTAGTTTACCTTGAAAAGCTTCATAGAAAACACCGACCTTACCTAACCTTCTTAGTATGTTAAGATAAGCATCTTATTGCTTCGTAATTACAATTATTACTTAACCTATTATAGGTATAGGTTAAGTAATAATTGTAATTACGAAGCAATAAGATGCTTATCTTAACATACTAAGAAGGTCAGGTAAGGTCGGCGTTTTCTATGAAGCTTTTCAAGGTAAACTAAAATATTCACAATAAATTAGTATGTCACATATGCACTTATTTAATAAGTCAATATTGACTAAGAAAGTGCGAGAACGGGTTGCACCAGTATAGAGGAATAAGGGTGTCACACCAACATTGGTATCATCATATGTTGGAATTTGTGGGACAAAATTCTCACAATCCTCCCACACAAGTACACCAGTGGTTTTGGTTTTGGCACCAACACCACAGCCAACTCCAGCATGAGCACCACCAGCACGGGCCTCAACAACACGGCTCCGTCATATTGTGCTACAGCTGCTTTTGGGTATGCAAGGAGACGAGTGTGTTCTGCGTAGTATAGGCCTACCACGAACACCTGATGTCAAGGGCACACTGTCGTCTTTGTCCTAAGCCACGTGACATGCTGGCACTTACCTGTGCGGGTTGCTGGGGCAGCAAATCCCCGCCTAGTAACACCATCGCTGATTGTACTTGGTTTGTCAATACTGCTTGTATCAGAGCCTATGTCACCGAAGCCAGAAAATGACTCATCACATGTATTATCACCAAATAAACTCACATCAGGGGGGGGACGGTAACTCTAGTCGTGTTGACCCAGGGCGGCGAGACTGGTCCTGGGTGTGTACGGTACACGCACCTCTGGGCGAGGTGCCTGTACTGTACACACTCGCGACATTGTCCACCTCGGTGTCCCCATCACTCAAGTCCGACCCTTGTGTTAGGTCTTTTTCAGGATTGTAGTTTAACACTTTCGCGCACCCCGCGCACCACCCCTCAACTGTGCGATATGGGACCCCGGGTGTCACGGGAGCGCGCGTAAATTCTGAAAAGTGTATACTCTCTTCAACTTTGTCACCTTAATTCTCGTCTTACGAGATTAAATTTGGTATCATTGTGTTCGCAATAGAATTCTCTACAGCACTAAATGCATATAAACTCCAAAAGCCTGGCTAATTACCCGCAGCAAACAGAGAAAGTGCGAACGAGTTACCCAGGAGCGCGCAAACGCGATAAAAAATTTTCACTATTTTCACTCTGGTCACCTCAATTTTTGTCCTAGGTCTTTCATTTTGGTCTCAATGGGTTCGCAATAGAATTCTCTAGAGGAACATTAGCATATAAAATATAAAACCTGGTCACACTCCAACCGCCGACGAGTTGAAGACGGGCCACGCGTTAGCCGCGAGTGAGGGCTTAGACGCCTTCCAGCTACACTCCCAATTCCCTCCCTTTTCAAGCCTTTCTTTCACAATTTTCTTCCTGGAAGGACCTTGTTCATGATCACTATCCATCGTGGAGTAAGGGTAGATAGTTTCTAAAGCCGCAGTAAGAAATATAGCCACGGAAAATAGCCGAAATGTTCACACGTTTGAGATGCGAGGGGAGGCGACATTGGTCACAACAGTGGAGCGAAAACAATGGGCCCACGGCGTGTGCCAAGCCACCTGAGGGCCACGAGGCTCAACAAAGAAAATGGGAAGACATCGGCGCACATTTTAAAACCAGTCCCAAAAAAATCAGATAAAAACCTGATTTTTGGCGATTATTTAAAGTGGATGACGCAATGCTGCGTCATCCCCGGTATTACCGACAGTAAACGGATGACGCAATGCTGCGTCATGCCCGGGCGAAAGTGTTAAATCGTCATCAATCGGTCCATCATGCAATATGTCCTGTATTTCATCCTCTGACAGTCGTTTAGCTGGACGGCGGCTGACCGTGGACCGGAAGCTCGTAGACGATGCATCAGACATGGTATCTTCCTTGAAACTGAGGATCTCCACAACCCTGGGGCATGCTGGGATTTTTTTCAAAATAACAGACAATCACTGGAGACCTCAGGCATCCATTTCATACCCGTGTCACTGCGCACCACTTTTGAATCATACACTATACCTATGAAGGCCCTAAGGCGCGTTGCGCACTGCCCATCAAGTACCTCAAGGCGTGTTGTGCAGTGCAGTGATTAAAGTAATGTACCAATACTGTAAATAAAGTAAGGATGGGTTTCGTGAATTTGTACTCTAGGGTACGGCTTAAAAGCTTTGTGACCTTACACTGAGTACAGAGTGTAATAATTACAGGTGGTGATCCTCACCATCCTCATATAGGTGGTCATCCTCACCATCCTCATACAGGTGGTCATCGTTACCATCCTCATACAGGTGGTCATCGTTACCATCCTCATACAGGTGGTCATCTTTACAAAATTTGTAAAATTTTGGGCTATATTCAATAACAATAGGTACTTTCCTTCTACAATCATATGGTCTACCACTGTTGGGGACAGAAAGGTGAATATAAACATCAGGAGGTCCCCCCTTAGACAACAACTGACCTTGCCCAAGACACAACCCATAACATTTAGTTAGCACCAAGGTATACAAACATGTCCAAATGTCCAGTCCTGCCCAAGAAACAAACCTGGGACCACTGGTTGAGGCACTTGAAAGTTTCAAGCTAATCAACAAAAGCTCTCTCTAGATATCTCGCTGACACAACCACAAAGTATCCTATAAGGATCATAAAGTAGCACTACCTGGAATACCTAACTTCTTACCATCTTTTATATCAATGATGATTTTTGCAATAACCCAGAGTTGCTGAGCATACATTGACAAAGGCGGAGACTTCATAAGGAACGGCCCAGATGTCAGCTGGGACTGGTTGATACTGGGTGTTAGTTGAGAAGCTCTCTGTTCTGCCGTAGCTGTTATGGCTGGACCTACAATGGAAGTGAAACTCATGTACTGCACAGTATTCAAATACAATAGCTAAATAAAAAAAATAGTAAACAGTGTGACGGGTTGTGGTATCACAGCTATACTGAACCAAGATGGTATGGCTCTCCTTCACACAAATAAAAAAAAATGCTGCTATTGGCCTTGCAGTGTTTAAGTCGCAGGTGGAAACAAATGAAAATCATCAAATAAATAATGAAACAATTTACTGAAATAGTAATGAACAAAAAATGACACATGACAATAATTGGCTATCATGTAACACAAAGGTGAACAAGTTAGTATGACCTTAAATGCAAAAATAAACTATAAGCAATGAATAAAAGCATAAAGATATACTGGTGTACTGAAGACAGCTACCATACCACCATGGCATCAGTCACACGGCATTGGCTGAAGGCGGACAATGGGTGAAAGACACGAAGGTGTTCCAAGAGCACTGAGAGACTGGCTCTCCAGGGAGGCGGCGCCCTTTATATAGTCCGGCGGTGATGACTCATCTGGTGTCAATGCAAGGTGGACATCTGGTCAGCTAGCAAACTGCTTGTTTGTGGCTGGCAGTGCCTTTGTGTTGAGCTGCACTACTGCCAGTTGAAGGCGGCTAACTGCTTGTTTGTGGGGGCAAGCTACTGGTTAGCAGTGGTGCCCGGCTTGCCTTCGAGTCATACCAGGCCGTGCCAGGCCCTGGGGGGTATGGAGAGGTGGCAGGACTGATGACTCATCTGGACTGGTGTAGATGTAGACTTCCAGTGCAGAGGCATTGAAGGTGAAGGGAAAAGGCAGTTCCACTGCTATGCAGGGGATTCACATGACAACAGTAACATGGATATATGACCAACCTGACAAAACTGGTGAAGGAATAAGGTCAAAGATCTCTGCTAATATATAACTAATGCCACACATTAGTCCACCTGTGTACAAATAATAATAAATTTTGTCGGGAACATAAAGCTCGTGCATGAACAAGGTCAAAAGTACCAATATGTAGTGATGGACCACCAGAAAGTTGACTACTGTATTATGGAATTTAAACAAACCAGAAACTTTTTAAATCACAACATATATACAAGATCTAACTTAACCTAACCTCTCTTAGCAATTCTAGGCATAATACACACTATCTTAGGCCTAATATACTACATATATGTACTATATTAGGACTAGGAATATTTAAATTTGGTTTTTAGCATTATTTCTGAGGGAATCCCCTTGTGGCTCCTTGAAACTACATACTGAGATGGTTTCCATCTACTAGGTCACATCAGCCATGGAGGCCTACCAGGGACCAGAGCCAGAAACTGGCCCTCTTCTGTGAGGTGACATTTTTCCTCCTCTCCGGGAATGGCAACCAGCAAATCTGCAAGTCAAAACATGCTGAATCCACTGCTGGACTCAGAACCGTCTCAAAATTCTCCTAATAAAGTCCTACAAACTTGTAAACTATTGAATACTCTCAAAACTAACACAAGCTTGTCTCCCCCCCCACTGCCCCAACCCACCCACCTCCTCCACTCATTTGGAGGAAGTAGTTTGCTGCCTTCCAGGGTCTGAGCCATCAATTCTATCATGATGTAGTGGTTCCCGGGAAGCCCCACCTCCATGAGAGGTCCTGTCAAGCTAAGTTGTTCCTATGCCTACTCTTACTCCTGTTCCTATTCACTGCAGTGAAGGGAGCCTGGCAGTAAGAGTGCTTGGAGCTGCATATACTCAGGGTAACCTTCCTTGTGTGATTCTTAGCACTGTCCTTGCATTGCCAGAGTTATCTTCTATGGACTGTTCAGGAGTTGCTCCCCGAGAGGTCCTCCTTGCTTGTGGTGGCCCTCACATAGGGTGAGTCAGGCATCTCGTGACTTCTCTGCCTTGACCCAAGTCAGTTGCAACTTTGGCTGGCAGGGCACACTGGTGGTTCATGGGCTTCCATTTAGAGCACCAAGGTCAACCCTCATAGTCATGTAACGTAGATTGTATCAACGTACTTTTAGGGTCTGGCAAAGCGTCCCTAGTGCCTGGATGTTCTGCTTGGTTTACTCTTCAGGCCCTGGAATTTCACTGCGGGTTTGGTGCTCCCATTGGTATCTCCCCCTGAACCTACTCTTGTTTCGAGTGAGTTTGAGGGTTCCTTATCACCCATGTCATGTGACAATGATCACTTGTTCTGCATCTGCTATGCTGCCAGCTGGGATGGTGACACCTTCGAACCCGAGGACTGTGGGGTTGTTCTCCCCACGTGACTTTCCTTTATGAACCTTCTGGTGAGATTTGGGGCTTACCAGGCAGTGACCGTTTTGCGCATATGTTTTGGTAGTTTGCAGCAGTCTAGGTTATGGGCTAGGCTTATGTGCCTCCTCACATAGAGAGGTTAATAAACTAGAAAAGTACAAAAAAGAAATAAAAAGAGACGTGTTCCTGAAAATTGAATATACCAACATAGATGGAATGAGATAAAAAATATTCAAGCTGAAAGATATAATTCAGCTTAAGGTCCCAGATATTGTTGCATTAACAAAGACTAAGCTTGAAGAAAATATTTTAAATAAGGTCGTATTCCCAAAGGACTACTCAGTTTGGAGACATAAGAACACAAGACCAAAGGCAACTGCAGAAGGCCTATTGGCCCATACAAGGCAGCTCCTATTTATAACCACCCAATCCCACTCATATACATGTCCAACCCTCGCTTAAAACAATAGAGGGACCCCACCTCTACCACGTTACACGGCAATTGGTTCCACAAATCAACAACCCTGTTACTGAACCAGTATTTACCCAAGTCTTTCCTAAATCTAAATTTATCCAATTTATACACATTGTTTCGTGTTCTGTCTTGTGTTGATACTTTTAATACCCAATTAATATCCCCTTTGTTATGCCCATTCATCCACTTGTAAACCTCTATCATGTCACCCCCTAACTCTTCACCTTTCCAGTGAATACAAGTAAAGCTTTGTTAATCTTTCTTCATATGAAAGATTTCTAATTTGGGGAATTAACTTAGTTATCCTACACTGGACACGTTCAAGTGAATTTATATCCATTCTATAGTACGGCGACCAAAACTGAACTGCATAATCTAAATAGGGCCTAACCAGAGCTAGATATAGCTGAAGAACAACACCAGGTGTCTTGTTACTAACGCTTCGATTAATAAATCCCAGTGTCCTATTTGCCTTATTACGAACATTTATGCATTGATCCTTTTGTTTTAAATTCTTACTAATCATAGCTCCCAGATCCCTTTCGCAATCCGACTTCGCAATCTCAACACCATCTAGCTCGTATCTTGTAACTATCATTATTACCTAGCCTCAGAACTTTACATTTATCAGCATTAAACTGCATCTGCCAATCCTTTGACCATTTCAAAACCCTATTTAGATCAACTTGAAGTGATAGCGAGTCTTCTTCCGTATTAATTTCCCTACAGAATTTTGTATCATCGGCAAATTTGAAAATGTTGCTACTCGAACCTGAATCTAAATCATTTATATATATTATAAACAACAGAGGTCCCAAGACAGAGCCTTGAGGCACTCCACTTACAACATTTTCCCACTCTGACTTGACTCCATTTATACTAACTCTGTTTCCTTTGGTATAGCCATGCCCTAATCCAGCTTAATATAGCACCCCCAATACCATGAGCCTCTATCTTTTTAATCAGTCTTTCATATGGCACTGTATCAAAAGCTTTGCTAAAGTCAAGATACACAACATCACAATCCTTACCACTATCAACTGCCTCAACTATGCTAGAATAAAAAGATAACAAATTTGATAAACATGAACGGCCATTTATAAAACCATGTTGCGACTCGATTATTAATTTATGTTTTTCAAGATGAAGACGAATTTTATTTGCAATTATCGATTCGAGTAACTTTCCCACAATAGACGTTAGGCTAATTGGCCGATAGTTTGACGCAAGTGATCTATCTCCTTTCTTAAAAACTGGTATCACATTAGCAACTTTCCATAACTTTGGTATTCTGCCTGACTCTACTGATTTATTAAATATGGTAGACAGTGGGTCGCAAAGCTCCACTTTGCATTCTTTAAGCACCCTGGCAAACACTTTATCCGGCCCTGGGGATTTGTTTGGTTTGAGTTTTACTATTTGTTTAATTACATCCTCCCTGGTAACTGCTAAACTAGTCAACCTGTCCTCGTCCCCACCCACATAGACTTGTTCAGCTGAAGGCATATTGTTAAGTTCCTCTTTAGTAAATACAGATATAAAATATTTATTAAAAATACTACTCATCTCCATCACTATATGTTATTTGACCTGTCTCAGTTTTTAATGGACCTATCCTTTCCCTAATCTTTGTCCGTTATAACTGGAAAACCCCTTTAGGATTTGTCTTCGCTTGCTCTGCTATGCGAACTTCATAGTTTCTTTTTGCTTTCCTTATCTCTTTTTTTTTAGTATTTCTAACCAGTTGTACGAATTCCTGATCTAAACTGACTTCCCCATTCTTAACCCTTTTGTACCACGCTCTCTTTTTACCTATAAGGTTCTTCAGAGCCTTTGTTATCCACTTTGGATCATTAGTACTCAATCTATTCAATTAATATGGTATACTACATTCCTGGGCTTTGCTTAGAATATCCAAAGAATGTCATTCAGGACCCTAACACAAAAACCCCTTTTACGTCACCTATCGCTGGATTCATGTCTAGCTCCAATACTGGCCCACACCCTATACCCAAGACTTTCATATCTATTTGACCCAAAAAATTTCTGAGGCTATTGAAATCAGATTTTTGAAAATCAGGCACTTTAACAGAATTTTCTCCTACAGATCTATTCCATTCAATTCTAAATCTGATTTCTTTATGATCACTGTTCCCTAGCTCACTCCCTATTTTGATGTCCTTAATTTGTGTTTCCCTGTTAGTTAACACTAAATCTAAAATATTATTTCCCCGCGTTGGTTCCTTAACCCTTCAATTGCGCATCACATCATATGATGCTTTGACCGAC